CGTCATCGTTAGTGGCCCGTTTCGAAACTCAGGCAGCGGCGTTTTTATTTTTATTTTATTTTTTTTTCTGACATCTATCAACTTTTTACTTTTTTGGTTGTGTTTGTTCGATGATGCTCTCTCTTTTCTCTATCCCTCCTCAATTACCATTTATACCCGCCTCGTCAACCCTCTGTTGTCTGTCTTGTTCCAGTCCACAGTCATCTTCTCCACTGTGCGGAACAATCTCCTAAGTCTCATTTCTCCTTTCTCCTAATTGTTATCCACGGTTCTGCTGCAAAACCCCCCCGCCATCAGCCCGGCGGCCCGCAGTGTCAGCCGCTGTCGTCACCCACGGTTCGCATCCACCAGATCATTCTTAACACCGCTTTTTCTACAAATCCCTGATCATAGGACCTCGTAATTATTAAGCACATGTCTCGATACGACGAATTTCGCCGCTCCACTGGAGTGCTCGAGACAGAGCCTGACCGCTGGGATCCAGATCGTTTTGCTCGTGAGCGACGGGAACGCCATCATTCCCGTGGCCCGCCAGTTCTCGATCGACCCCACCGGGTAGATGATGAACGATTTGAATATCGCCTACAGGAACATGACCGGTACGGCCCTCCTGCACGCCGCCCCGGCAGGCAGTATGAGGACGACCATCTCATCCACCCGTCGGGGCCGCTGGTGGCCTATGACCATTCACGCGCGGACAGCCCTCCTCCCCGTCCCCGTCTCCTACGACGGCAATCTTCCTTGGATACGTTCGACCGAATCCCCTCGCGCAAGCTAGATGAGTACTATTATCGTCCGGCCGCTCCCAGGGCAGCCGCCAGTCCCCCACCGGCGCGGAGACGGTCCTTTCGACGCTCCCGCGAGCCAGACTACTACGAGGAGATCCGCATCGCAGAACCAGATTATTACGGCGACGAGGAATATCGCGGTTTCCGGGAACGAACTCGCGCTTCCGCGCACCCGCGTCGCTCGGGCAGTCATTTCCGCGAGCGGGTAGTCGAAGAGAAGGTTGAAATCGACAAACCGTATCCTCGTAAAGGCAAGACCAGGGTCCCCCGAAAGTTAATTCACACTCATGCAATTCGTGAGCTTGGTTACCCTTATGAGGAAGAGGTACGTGTCCTAAGGTGGAGCAGATGTGGATTGCATCCACCTCGACGTTGACTGACTCGCGATAGGGTGACATGGTCATTATCCAACTTGCGCTTTCCAAGGACCAAATCGATGAAGTGATCAGTCGAAGTCGCACGATCAAGCGCCGGACCGAAAGCAAGTGACCACGTGCCCAAGACTTAGAAAGTATATGAACTAACAGATCTCCCAGCTCGGATCATCCACACCTCGCCGTCTCCCGTACGGGATAAGACAAAAGACAGGACAGTGGAACGAGTCGCCATGGAGGCCTATTCGCCCCGGACAAGCTACAATACCCTGATTGTTGAGCCGTCGCCCTCACGGCACCGATCGCGAACGCGTCAATACGATATCTCGGAGCGGAAAGTGACGAGAGCTGTCTCCCGTACGCGGTCTATTTCGGTTCATGGCCGCCGCCGTGGCCTGTCATCGCCTGTACGCATGGTCGAGCCCTATGCTGAGTCCAGCAGCTCTCATGCAGGCCCGCTCCTCGTGGTGCGTCCCCGAGACAATGACGAAGATATCCGTGAATATATGCCATTGGCGCGACGAAGCGGTGAAGTGACCCGGAGGACGGAGTTACTGACCGATGGCGACTACGAAGAGGTGACTGAGACGAAGAAAGATCGTAAAGGTAAGTTGTGTCTTGTTCGAAGAGAGCGATGAGTTGAATTCTGAGTCGTCCGACCCTAGGTCCCAACCCTCGGATCCTCCGTGCGATGATGGCGACCCTTACCTAAATGTGGCCGCTTCGAGACTTTCTTACGCGATTATTCGTTACGACTTACCGATTTATATCATGCGTTACGATTCATTGATCTAGACGTTCAGCAATGATTCCTCTGTATGATACAATACCAAGTTGGCTGTGACTTCAGGGTGTTCGACTGGGGTTCTCGGGGTTTTCGGCTTTGACATTAATGATAATAATGACCAATGTCTGCATGTGTGTGTTTTTCTTTTTCTCCTTTGTGCTGTTGATATTGTGTTTTTCTGTGTCTTTCTGTGTCTTTTTATTTTATTTCGGGTTGTGAAGGATGCAGGGACGGCAACCAGAATGGCATACATACATTTATACCTTAGTTACAATAGTTAATTGAATGTAATTTATTGTGAAACGTGGCGGTGCAGTTGAACTTCATTAAAGGCGGTGAGCGTGCCTGGGGCCTCGACTGCGTGATCTGCCAGCACTCATAAACCAAACAAATCCTCGTGGTCTGCCTAAGGACAAGTTTGCCGTCTTGAAGTCATCTTTCTTCCCGATTATCACTTTTCAGTCGGATTGTCTTGACTTACAGTATGGACAAAGTGCAGGCGTTCGGAAAGAACCTTAGGTGAGATGAAATGACTTCCGAGGCTGCTATTATCCCACACCCCTCCATTGTCGCTTTTACCAGTAATAGCCCTCAACATCCAAAGCCCTCTGCTGACATGTTTCTAATCCTATATTGCTTTTGCGGGTAGTGCGAGCTTTTCGCCTTTCGCTGCGCGCACGCAGCAGATGATCAAAGAGCAGTTGGGTCAAGCCGAAGACAAGACTCAACTTCCAGATGAGTACCTTGAGCTTGAGAAGCGCGTGGACGCTCTTAAGTTGGTCCACCAGAAACTCCTTCAGGTGACGTAAGTGACAAATCCCTAAAAGGCCCTGGAAAGGGCCTGCTGCTTTCACATGATTATAGCGCTGACCAATAGCGTACAGTTCTCAGTACTCTAACGAGGCCTACGACTACCCACCCAACATCCGCGAGTCCTTCAACGACCTAGGCCGGACCATCGGTGAAAAGGTTCAGCTTCTCTCTCAAGCTTCTTCCCCTGCGGAGGCCCAGGCTGCCCTGACTGCCCCTCCCTCGGCCAAGCCCCAGCCTAAGACGTTCAACCATGCCATTGCCCGCGCCTCTCTGTCCGGATCGCAGACTCTGGCGCAGAGTTCCACCGGCGAGGATCCTCTGGCCACTGCCCTGGAGAAGTATGCGCTGGCCTCGGAGAAAGTGGGTGAGGCCCGTCTGTCGCAGGATGGACAGATCCAGTCGCGCTTCCTCGCTGGGTGGAACACGACCCTCAACACCAACCTGATGTTTGCGGCCAAGGCGCGGAGAAACGTCGAGAACGCCCGTCTTATGCTGGACTCAGTCAAGGCCAGCAAGAAGGCGGCTGCTAGGGGTGATCTGGACAACCTGAGCGAGGAGGCCCGTCAGGAGATCGAACAGGCCGAGGATGAGTTCGTCAGCCAGACCGAGGAGGCTGTGAGCGTCATGAAGAATGTAAGTTGCAGATTCTGTAGGTGCTGCGGGGAGGTGTTACTAACTGACTACAAGGTTCTGGACACTCCTGAGCCTTTGAGGAACCTGGCGGACTTGATCGCCGCTCAACTTGAGTTCCACAAGCGGGCTTATGAAATCCTCAGCGAGCTGGCTCCTGTGGTCGATGGTTTGCAGGTTGAACAAGAGGTATGGTCCTTTGCGTCGTTTTCAGGATGTTTATAACTAACTTGTCATAAAGGCTAGCTATCGCAAGAGCCGTGAGGGAGCTTAGAACACCCTCTTGAATCTATTTATTCTTTCACTCCTTCGTTACGTTCTTCTTTTGGCCAGCTGTTATGGAACCGTCGGATTACGCTGTGAACTACCCCCTGATGCACTATGAAGATGTTTTATATCCCCAATTTATGGATATGTAGGGTCATTTGTGGCTCTATTGATGCGTTAAGTTGGTTTGTAGACTGTAAAGCAAGCCTTGTAAGCCTGAGAGCTGTCTAGTAGTGGGCGAATAAACATCATCGCTCTGCGTTAACAGCATGATGTAAACAAAAATGAACCCAATAGACAGCATGAACAGTCACATACTAAATCCAAAAACCTACCCCATGTAATCTCTCATCAGAAACAAGCCCTACGTAAGAACAATCCCATTCTGCAACTCATTACCGCCTTCCACCCAGAATCTCTGCCTCAGGCGCCAACACCACCTACAAGCTCCCCCAGCCTAGAGCTCCGACATCCCATACCTTTATCCCGCGGAGAGTCCACCTTAACGACAACAATCCTCCCACCACCGAGTCAACGTCCAGCGTTCTTGCTCGTCTCGGTCCACGCCAAATCCATCGCCCCTTACGAGTTAAGCGATCCATTCTCTCTCCTCAAAGGCAACACCGATTCCCGCACCGGTGGAGAGAACACCAGGAGATACCTCGAATTGCGAACAGATACAACCCACCGAACGAAGCCAGTATACCTGCTTCTACAGTATCGGAACTACTAACCCAATCACCGATCAACCTCAAACCAAAAAAAAAAAGAAGAAGGGAAGAAGAAGACACCGGCTGGTCCCTGTGTCCGAGTGCATTGACCGTGCCCTCATACTCTACGTACAATTCACCGAACCACTAGCCATTCGAAGCAGAATAACCGAGATACCAAAATGGCGAACGGGTACGTCTAACTACCCCTTATAATCTCCTTACCCATTCTCTTAAAACACCAAGAAGAAGGAAAGGCTAACGGAACAAAACCAGGTGGAGCTTAATCATCGGTCTGATCGTCATCGCCGTCGCGTCCGTCGTGGCTTGGATATTCAGTCCTAAGGGCGAGAACCAGACGTATGTATCCCTCCTTTGATTTTCTCTTCGAATCTGGGTCTGTGTCTAACGAATGTCTTAAGGCTCTGGCGGAGTACGCTTATTCTCTCGTTTGTGTCGTGTTATTTGATGTGGGGTATGTCTTCCCTCTCCCTTTCTTTTTCTGTTCCCTTTGTGCTGGGTTTGGGTATGGGTTGAGGGGAATGAGAAGCAATGTGCTGATTTATGATATGTGCAGCAATTACGTTTTTGGCGCAGTGGCATCCGCTTATTTCGCCGAAGAGGGCGGATATTAGACCTGATCGGGTACCGCAGTAATTTTTCCTTATTGGGTTCTTGGTTGAGGGGGCTAGGATATGTTAGGTTGGGTTTGGAGGGTAGATGATTGAGGTGGTTTATGGGTGTTTTGTATAGTTATCTTGTGTATGCTTGGTACTACTTTTACTTTTCATGTCGCTGCATTGATGTTTTCTCAGCGGTTATTCATAGATTCTCATGAACAGGATGAGTTTCATTTTTTCCATTTTGAGATCTAGTATGTATTTCCGTCATATGTTAGCTAACTCCGATTGCTCCTAGGATGACTCTCTGTACTGTCCATCGAGCCATTAGTCCGGCAACTGCTAGTGTTACAGCGCGGAGGTACCCGCATCCTAAGAGGACATATAGCGCTTCGATGTTACTCAACAGCACCAGATGCGTATCGGCTGCCCCCAGCGAAAAAAGTGAGCCTGTCAGCTCAACAAAGTTTGCTAGGTAACTTGTCGGCACTGACTGAGGCAGCATCTGAATCAAACTTTCTAGAAGTGTTGACGAGGCTGGCGATGGAGACCCCGCTATTCCCGACGAGCCTGTTGTGGTGGTTGCCGCGGGAGCAATACCGTTCAGCGCGTGCGGTGAGACATTGCCCGGAGTCACTCGACTTGTCCCTACGCTTCTGTCGGTAGGTGTTTGAGATGCAATGCCGCTGCCGTCGGGGCCCCAGATGACAAGCAGTATCGGGAACAGTTTGGCACAACTGCTAACGAGAAGTGCCGTGCTGATCGCGGTAGGACTGGCGGGAGATGGAGGAGGTAGCGGCTGAATGCTCTGGATTGGAGCTGTAGAGGCGCGACGCAAAGGAGGTGGCGGGAATGAACCTTGAGATGCTAGAAGGACGGCGTAATTATCATTTCCCGTACTGTTTGCGGTGGAGAACCCTCCGCCCGCTGATGGAGTGTCATAAGAGCCTTGCCGACTGAGCCTAGGTGGGCTCAACATGGATGCTGATGTGGGGGATAGTTGGGAATGCGTATTCGTGATTTGAGATGGAGGAGAGGTATGTACCGGTGTCGAGGGGGTGGAGAGAGGGCTTTCTGTCGTGGTAGTCGTCGGGTTGTTGCCATTTTGCTTCAAGCCTCGAGGTGCTGGGGCAAGGACTGAAGCTAGGGCACGGATAGTGAGGTGATGGGCAAGAGTCGCAAGCGCATTTAGACCCAAAAAGAAAAAGTACTGGACAATGATCGGTGCGCGAGAGAGGAAAGTAGTAGCCAATGAAGGAGACTTCTCAATGCGTGCCCATGTCAGGTAGACGTCAAACAAAAGTAGAAGGACTCCTAGACGAATTATAGATCTCTAGCAAACAAATAATTTAGTCAGTTGAATAAACCCCAATTCTACGGAAACAATAGACTAGAAGAGAGCGCGAACGAGGGATAAATAGACGTACATCGAATTGGTTGTTGTCCCCTCCAAGCCTATTAAAGAGGAGATGGCGATAGACCTTCCGCGGTCAGTATGCTAGTATTCCGGACAAGCCATCACTTCAGTGTGCATACCTGCGGCTTGATCAAAACGAGATCAATGAAGATCACGACAAAGTCATATTCAACATACTTATCCGCAAATCGCTGGCAGCGTGGACATTGTGTCAAGCGCACGCCTTTGCCTAATGAGCGATCGTCGGCACGACTGTAAGTGCTGTACAGATGCGAGACGGGGTACGAGCACTCGATGCAGATGGGCATCATGTCATTGACTTCTAGTCATCCTGAGATGCATAGTCAATGTCTCCCTCAGGAGAGATCAAGGGATCTTCATCGCGAGAGAATCGCGGCGGCAGTTCGGTCTCTAGGCCGAAGGCGGTGAGGGTCCATGTTAAATATAAATATCTATTGGGGATATATTCAAGAGGTCAATCTATATACATTCATGCCCGAACCCCTGCTGCACTCGGTGCAGATTATATACTAGTTCCAGGCAAAAGAAAGGCCAAAAAGTCTATATGTCCATCAATCAACAACACCCGTATCGTCAGCCCAGCTCGGCTGAATGCTCCGACACACTTGCTCGTAATCGCAAAACCTTTGCGAATTCTCCGTTAATCCTGGAGTCGTCCAGAACATAGTCCAATTAGTGTCAGATAGCTTCCACGTCCCCGTAGAGCGCTCGAAGTACCACTTATTTACTGGGTTGTCCTTGCGACTGCGCCAGCACACCCCGTTGGGGAAACATGAGCGAACCATAGCATTGAACACAATATCGGCCACACCGCCGGCGCCTTGGCTGCGTTTTAAGACGGCAAATTTGTCCAGGTATGGGACCATCCGAGCTTCACTGGCCGGGCTACCATCGTCTTCCACACCCGGCGGCAGCTCCCACGTGAGGATAGCACCACCTTCGTACTCTCCAGCAATGATCAGTCCCGCCAAGCGATCGTTAACACGGTTAAGATAATCTTGGACGTCCAGTTTACGGTTGAAGGAGTCTTCGATCAAATGAACTAATCGCGGGAGGTCGATGCTCGGATCATCCAGCGTCAGCCGTGGCCGATTTTGCGCCGTCCACACCTCAACTCGTGGATTGGGAATCATCGTGAGAGGCATGCCTCGCTTGACAAAAGTTGTGTGAGAACTTGGGGAATTGATGGAGCCTCGTCTACGGTTCATCGCCTCTCGTCGGCTCACGGGCAGTGAAGAGGAAAGCAGCGGTTTGTCTGTGAGTAGGTTGTGAATGAGTGGGTTTCGCTGCCGTCGAGTGCCCACAGCAGAGACATATGAAGGGTTAGCCTGGGGTGTCCTAGCTGAGTTCGAAACTTCCAGCGGTGAGGTAATAATCCCTGAGGACGCCGATGGGAGCATAGCAAGCACATTTTGCGACAACTGCAGGTTGTCCAGGTGCCTCTCCAAAGGGTCCTGAACGAAGGTATCTTTCCGTTGTGGCGTGGTTGCTGTACAAGCTTCACTGGACTGTACGTGAAGTAACTCATTCTTGATATCATCAAATTCCTGCTCCATATTGATGAAAACGTGCGATGTTTGCGGTCCTCGGAAGGAAGGAATCCCTCCGAGAGGATCCAGGAGAATTACTCGATCCAATGAGACCTCCTTTTGCAGCTTAGCGATTTTCTGCGCTGTGAGCCAAGGGTCTTCATCAGGGTCGGGACGCATCGCCAGACCGGCAAGCTCTTTCGTGAGGGCCAGAATGGCATCATTTGCAGATATGGTAACTGCCTTAGGAACATCTTCCGTGTAGGCAATAGGGGCAAGAACCACAATTTGACCGTCGCGGAGCGGATTAAGGAGCGCCTTTCTGGATAGAACGGCGGGAAGTTCCGGAAACATCGGGGACAGAGACAAGACCGAGTCGAGATGGGCAGACTTTGAGTCTGGTTGTGCATCTACTGCAATTGAAATACGTTCGGCTTGTTCTGCAGCAACCCTGCGTAAGACATTGGCATTGTCCGCAGTTCCAGGGTCAACCACAACACAACAAGCCATCCCTAGGCGGCTCAGCTGGGACAGGGTCTTGGCTACTCCACTGATAATAGTGTCATCAAGTAGCTGCGGTGTCCTGAGTTTAATCAGGGCTAGATGGAGTCTTCCCTCTGGCAATTCTAACGGTGGTGGGAGGGGCGTTGAGTCATGCCTGAAGACCGGACTATCATACACAGACCGCGAGGCTCCATAGAATGAACCCAGGTTAACACCCGACGGTAATGATTGTGTTACCGTTTCTTTCGAATGTCCGGTGGTTGGTTTTGTTTGCGCTTTCGGAGGATGCTGTGCTTTCAGGCGAGCCAGATACGATTTGGCCTCTCGTTTCGTAGACGCGGAGTTCAGCAGACTAAGGAAAAATTCCTATAGCCGGAAAATCCATTGAAGTAGTCAGCGGATACGTCCTGCAATTATTGGTACTGGGCGACCATCGTACACGATCCAATAATTTTTCCTTGGCCCGACGACCTAGTCGGTCATAGCTTTTGCTGCTGGACGAAAACTCGGCACTTTGGTTGATCGGCCGATCGGCGGTGGAAGAGAAGGACCGGCAATTGGGAGTTCCCAATGTGGGCTGGCCGACAAAGGAGTAGGTTTGTTGCTGCTACAGGACGTCAAGGTCAATTGGAGAGCAATGGCAAGGAGAGAGGATTTGATGCTCACCTTTAGTAGAGAGGACTTCGCAGTCCGCGGCCAAGTCAGCGCCCTAGAACTCATGTTTCATTTCCGTCGATGGTGAAAGAAGCTGATTCCAGGAATGAATACATAGGAGTTGGCGAAGGAAGAAGCCTGAAGAAGAAAGACGGTACAGAAGGAGAGCAGCAAAGAGGAGTGAGGGGGCGCTGGATATTCGGAGGAAACAAAAATGAGTCGATGCGGATAATGACGCATTCCGTTCTCGGCTTCTGATTGGCTCCGATAACGCCCGTTGTTCGGAGATTGATAAAAAAAAAAAAAAAAAAAAAAGGGAAATCTCCACAGTTAAGGTTCATGACCATGATCACCTTGTAGCACACGAATCCATGCACTGTATTCGGAAGTAGTGTCTATACTTGAACTCCCATTATTGATTACGAACCCTCGGTTTGATCAGCAGAGTGCAGCACTGCTAGAGATTGTGACATTAATAAATTTAGACCCGGCATTGCAGAATACAGAGTAGACGTGTTATAAGTCTGGAGTATGTTGACTCAAACTAGGACCCATTCGTGTACGTAATCGATTGCTTCTTATTCAAATAGTCTTAGAATATGTCAGGATGTGGTTCTCTTGGCTGTTCAGCCGTTCCGGGGTGGTCATGAACAATCGTGGTAACTTCGTCTCCTCATACCTAGCTCCACGGATTATCATCTGCGCAATGGCCTGTGCTGAGAGGAAGACCTGCGGCATTCCATGGCCGTTAAAGCCGGCAATCACCAACTGGCAAGGTTTGTTGGGGATGTGTCCAATATGCGGCAAGGAGTCGGTGCTATAACCCATTACTATGTGCAAAAAGTCAGCACCAGCTTTTCAACCAAGTCACGAAAGAGCTATAATAAGAAGAGACGCACTTCCCGTCCACACTCGGTCGATATATGCCCCTGTGTCCTCCCAGCCGTGGAAGTGCCGTTGCATATAATTGTCAAAGTACCGCGCAGCAGACTCTATCAATCTGCTGTCATCTGTATTGTCGTACCACTCGCTGGAGTCATGGAAAAATGTGGACTTTCCCCCGCCAACGACAATACTGCCATCTGGTCGGGGAATCAGGTAATCATAATCCCAGGCATTGAAACGCAATGTGTAAGAGCAATTCAGCGGGGTTTTCGGCGGATTGGGCACCACAATCCGACTACAGACCCCTCGTACAGGGACAATCTTGTCTTTGTACTCGGGTGCGATGGCAGACGTATATGCATTACTGGCGAAAACAACCCATTCTGCGCGAATTGAACCTCGACCAGTCACGACAGTCCAACGACCATCAATATCAGGGGTTTCGGAGATGCGGAGCACGGGTGTTTGCGTTTGGAGGTTGACGCCAGCCGAGACAGTTCGCTCCAAGAGTTGAGTGATAAATTTATATGGCCAAAGTCGCCCTGTGCGACAGCGGAAGCAGCCCCGGGCGCCTTTCACTCCAGATACCTACGCAGGGGATGAGTATTCATTGGAATCTGCAGTGACTGGACTGGTACTCACGGATTCCGCAGTCTCTTTCGGAGTGAAATTAGCCTCTGTTGCTGTAAGGGCTCCCTGGGAAAGAAGAGATTCGTATCCCGTCTTGAGTTTGGCGCAATGATTATCGTCAAGCTGCACATCAATGACCTCGCCGAAGTCTAGGTCACAATCAATCTTCTCCTCTTCTACACAAGACTGAACCGCTGCCATATGCGCTAACTCGAAAGCGGCCACTTCTTCTGCTGCATCAATTCCATATTTATCTGCCAGGGTACTGATTTGGTAATATACATCAGGTTTCAGATGGCCACCTAAGGGGGTCAGATGTCAGAATCAGCATTTCATGAGTTGCCTAGATTTAGTTGTGACTTGCCATTGCGACCCGTAGCCCCCGAGCAAGCCTGACGGGCTTCCAGTATTACTATAGAAGGTTTATCAGCTGACGAGGATTGACTAAGGCGCATACAGTGGTAAGCAGTTGATACGCCTGCATATCCTGCCCCAACGATGACAATATCACTTGCATCAGGCAGCACCTCGGTTGAGCGATGACTATCGAGACAATGAAGCTCGGTGCGCCAGAATGAAGTCATGCCATTGTTGACAGGAAACGCTTCTGCCATGGTAGCAAGGAAATCGTTTTAGGATGAGATCGACAGTGTTTCAGTGTGTGCTTTGCTTTCCTGGTTTGGTACGCTCTGAAGGACTCCTTACATGTTCTGTTGTAGAAGTAAGGCTCGGGCACACACCCACTACTGCATGTATGCAAGTGCGGAGAAACCAATCAACGAACACTATGTTCTTGGGTAAAGGATAGACCATGACGAATCTCCGGTATGGCAGTTTATTCTCTATCATGAGGTATGTTATCAATTTACCACCCAATTGGTGGTAAACATTTACGCAGCGTGTGTAAGTGTGAGTTGATTCCTGAGAAGAAGACAGCAGGTAATCTTGTCAGAAAATTAAACCCTTGGAGGATCCTTGCTGCCCTGAGACGTACGGCACGTGTTCCATGTCCCGGTTTGAAGTAGCAGCAATACCACTGCAGTACTTGTAGTGTGACAAGTACTAGTAGTTCCATGCTTTAACTGGCACCTGGCAACATATCTCATTCTCGTACTCTACCAATCACCAGAAGTATTTACTACAACTAGTAGTTGTAGTACCGACTAGTAAAACTCGTGCTCCGTACGGGACCCATCCAGTTACGGGGCAGAAACCGTCAAATTTCTCCATATCTCCCCGTCCCCAGCCTACCCACCCGTCAATGTTACGCGTAGGCCACCTAGATAAATTACATACGAACATGACTTGCATTATCAGTATCAGTCAATAATACCCCGCGCTTGGGTTCGGCAATCTTACTTCACCGGATGGAAAGCAATCAATCAAAATCCTGGGAACCAAATAAAATTAATCTCGGTAGTAAGACTTTTTAGTCCCTGAAGTTTCTGACTATCTGCAGGGGGATCGATCGACCGATACTTCTAGTACCTAAAAATCATTGGATAGTGGATTAGATCCTTCAGGAACATCCATAATCCTCGATCCTTTATTGCTTTTCTTTCTCTGCTCTCCTCTCTCTCTTTTTCTGGTCTCTTTTTTGTATTCCTTTTGTTCCGTGGGTAAAGAAAAAAGACAGCCAATCATACTGTGCCCGGGTCAGACTTCCACAATATCTTTCATTTGCCTCAAAGAGTGAGTGGCAATCAAACGCCTCACTGTATCCACCAGCCTTTGGCACACAATAATCCACTCACATTCCCTTACGTGCGTTTTACAAGATCTGGTTGGTAAACTGCACTTTCCAGTTCCTAACTTAACAACCTCCCTTCATTCAGGCTTGACTGGTGGCTTGCGTCTTTTGGCTTACGACCCGGCCCTAAGCTTCTGGAACTGCAACCCGACTCAGGTTCTTATCGCCCGTCCGCATCAGAGCTAATTTTTTGATCCCCACCATTTTCCGAGGATTCACGCCCCTCGATTCGACTCTTTTTCATCCCTCTTAGGGTCCCCTTCAGCCAATCCTTTCCACAATCCTGCGCCTTCAGCAATCCCTGTCCGCTTGGACTTTGTCTCCCTCTCTTTGTGTACCTCTTGCTGCTTTTACATTTTACAAATTTTCTCCCTATTTACCCTGCAAATTTAAGGAACGTCGGCTTGCGACCTGTTGAAAATCGAATCCTCAGATCGACAGATAATGTCCGATTATACCGCTGATAAGTCTGCTGCAGACCAGCCCATCAATGGGTTCAAGCCGTTATCAAACGCGGACGGGTTCTCCTTGCCTACTACCGGGGATGACCTCTCACGTCTGAGCGCCCGTGGAGATTTTTCAATGGCCAACGGGATCCCCATGGAGGAGGTGGATGATGATGACGACGAAGAGGTCGACGAAGACTACGTTGCAGTTGACCATGACGATATTAACGAATTTCCTTACTGGCTCCGTCGCCCGCCTGTGCATCAACGCACAAAGTTGGACGAGTTGCATCCTTTTGTACAGGTCTTGACTGTGTCGAATGTGGATGACTGTGTCAACGTGGAGAGCGCGTTTCCCGAACAAGAGCGCTGTTCCCGAGAGAAGGTAAGGACATATTTTCTACCCTAACTTTACAATTTGTCGCCTGGCTGACTCGGCGTCAAAGTTTGTATATCGCTTGAACCGATGCCCCGAACTTTGCTTGGGCCTCTTCACACTCCCTGTCTTAGGAGAGGACCAGCCGAAGCCTCGCCCGACCTTGGTTGGACACATCGTTGCGACTCGCATTTCGACTCCGTTTGTGACCGACAAAGCTATGGAGCTCCCCGCGAAATGGCAAACCGAGCGCATGACTGTGGAGAACGGAGAGACCGTCGGCCATGACGAATATGGTAGCACGATTGCGATCCATTCCTTGGCTGTTTTGCCGGAGCATCAAGGCAAGCAGGTTGCCAGCACGTTGTTGAAGTCCTACATCAACAGGATCAGGGAAGCACAAATCGCCGAGCGTATTTCTATCATAGCCCATGATTACCTTGTGCCATTCTACGAATCTTTTGGATTCGAGAACCGTGGTCCTAGCAAGTGTCAGTTTGGCGGCGGCGGCTGGACAAATCTGGTGAGTGAAGCCTTTCTGAAACGTACCATTACACGCAGCCTGTAATTGACCAACTCTAGGTGTTGGAATTCATCGGAGAGTAAATTATCATCATGAAGGACGGTTATGATGGCAGCGAATGATGCTGTGCCTAGTTGACATGTCTTCCTCTTACCTGATCATTTTTCCTCTTGTCTCTTTTTTTCCCTTTGATTATATCTTCCTTTTCCACTTTTCTTTAGTTTCCCCTTTGTTGTTTTTGTTCACAATTCCCACGCGACATTTGACGCATGTTATGTTGAAACACTGGGTTTGGTCTTTTTACATGATGGGTTCAAGAGAAAAGCAACGGAGTTTGTCTGGGCTACGATGGTTCTGGGACAGATACCCCATGCTGATGACGACCATGAATAGGCGGCTAGTTTCAGGTCAGGGCAGGAATATTTGTGTATCATAGTCCCGCGGTAGTTCAATGTACATGATCATGATAGAGAGCAATTCAAGAGGGAAAAAACAATCAACAATCAAAATGAGTAGAAAGAAACGGCAGTAATACTGGTTACTATAGTAGTTATCTGGACGGGTCTCTTTTTTTCTCTCGGCTACCAGAAGGGAAAAACGTTCCCCACATTGCGACTCTCACCGCCCGTCAAAACTTTGCGCCGACCGCCCGGAATATTTTTTTTTTCTTTTTTGTTCAGGAAGTGCTTCGACTCGGAGACTTCAAAATCTTATCATCACCTCTGGGATATTCTTGAGAGTCGTATTCGGTACTTCTCAGGTTGCCCATCATGAAGACCACTTGGAAGGATGTGAGTTATTTTGGTTGCGCCAGAAATGCTGCCGTCATGCTCCAGAACTGTCAAACTGATAGAGTACTTTTTTTCAGATCGCTCCTGTGCCCACGAGCCAGGAATTTTTGGATGTCGTTCTCAGCCGTACGCAGAGACAGCTGCCGACTCAGATTCGCGCTGGCTTCAAGATCAGCCGTATCAGAGGTATTTAGCAATCCCCGGTCGTCAATTTCGGAACAAAGTGATTGTGATCCGAAATAACAAGATAAAATTCGGATTTTGCTGATACGAATTTTGCCCCCGCTGCTTAGGCTTTTATACCCGAAAGGTCAAATATACCCAAGAGACATTCTGCGAAAAGTTCCAGGCTATTCTAGATGGATTCCCCCGGCTCCAGGACATTCATCCTTTCCGTAGGTTTTTGGGCTTCAAATATTCTCCCGGTGCGATTGTCTAACAGTTACTAGACAAGGACTTGATGAACACACTTTACGATGCCGACCATTTTAGAATCGCTCTGGGTCAAGTTTCTACCGCCAAACATCTCATTGAGACTGTTTCCCGCGATTATGTCCGTCTCATCAAATATGCCCAGTCTCTGTTCCAGTGTAAGCAGCTGAAGCGCGCCGCCCTCGGTCGCATGGCCACCATTTGCAGACGTCTCAAAGACCCTCTGGTCTACCTCGAGCAAGTCCGTCAACATTTGGGCCGTTTGCCATCCATCGATCCTAACACCCGTACTCTCCTGATTTGCGGGTACCCCAACGTCGGAAAGTCCAGCTTTTTGCGCAGCATCACCAAGGCCGATGTTGACGTTCAGCCATATGCATTCACAACCAAGAGTTTGTTCGTTGGTCATTTCGACTACAAGTACTTGCGATTCCAAGCCATTGATACCCCCGGAATTCTGGACCACCCTTTGGAGGAGATGAACACCATTGAAATGCAATCCATTACCGCCATTGCCCATCTTCGCTCCGCGGTCATGTACTTTATGGATTTCTCTGAACAGTGTGGCTACTCTGTCGCCGACCAAATCAAGCTGTTCCACAGTATCCGCCCGCTATTTGCCAACAAGATCGTCTTCCTTGTCGTCAACAAGATTGATGTCAGACGCCCCGAGGATTTGGAACCCGAATACCAGGAAGAGCTCCAATCGATCCTCAAGTCTGGAGATGTGGAAATGTTGCAGTTGTCTTGCACCACTACTGAGGGTGTAACTAACGTGAAGAACGCCGCTTGCGACAAGCTACTGGCCGAGAGAGTGGCGCAGAAACTCAAGTCTGGAACAAACAGTTCTGGTACCCCCGGTGGACGTCTGGGCGATGTCCTGGCCCGTATCCATGTTGCACAGCCCATGGGTGGTGTCCAACGTGAAACCTTCATCCCTGAGGCCGTTAAGACCCTCCAGAAATACGACAAGGATGATCCTAACCGGAAGAAGTTGGAGAGGGATATTGAGGAGGAGAACGGTGGTGCTGGTGTTTACAACATTGACCTCAAGAAGACCTACGACTTGGCCGATGACGAATGGAAGCATGATAAGATTCCCGAAGTCTGGAACGGCAAGAACATCTACGATTTCGTGGATCCCGATATTGAGCAGAAATTGGCCGCCTTGGAGGAGGAGGAAGAGAAGCTGGAAGCCGACGGTTACTACGATTCTGATGAGAGCGTGGAAGATGCTGAGGATGCCGACACCCGCATGAAGGCAGACCTGATTCGCGAGAAGCGGGCTTTGATGCGCAACGATGCCAAGATGCGCAAATCTCTCAAGAACCGCGCACAAATCCCTCGCAGCGCCAAGGCTAAGTCGCTGTCCCAGATGGAGGATGCTCTCGAAGAGGCCGGCTACGATGTCGATGCTGCTTCCGCCCGTGCCCGCTCCAAGAGCCAAACCCGTGGACGTACCACTACTCGCGATGCCGATGGCGACGATGCGATGGATGTCGACATGTCCGACCCTCGCCAAGCCATTGCCAAGGCCAAGGGTCGTGCCCGTAGCCAGGCAGCAACCAACCGTCTCCTGGACGGTGTTACCGATACCACGGCTCGCAGCAAGGCCGAGCGTCTGAAGAAGCTGGGCCAGAAGAAGATGAACCGCATGGCAAGAGCAGGAGAAGCTGATCGCCACACTACTGCATCTCTCCCCAAGCACTTGGTATGTCATCACCGCGACCCTTTTTACCCCTGTCACTCATTCACTAACGTTGCCTCTAGTTCACCGGCAAGCGTACCATCGGCAAGACTCAACGTCGGTAAAGGCTTTGTCTTCAAGTGCCGAGTGCACGATGAGACAATGTCACCACCCCTTAATATATCTCATCTTCTACATGTCATGAACTGGGTGTCAAAAAACAGGGCGTCGGGGGTTATGTTTCTTCATGTTTTGATTGTTTGTTACAGTCAACGGTCTCTGGATGAATTATACTGCTGCGTAAATACCTGGGGTTGTTCCGACCCAACCGAATCAGCATTTATCGGCTTGGTTGATTTAAATATTTTGATGAACGCGAAGACGAAGATAGAAATAAAAATTGATCATTTTGCCTTGATTTACTTTCATTTAGTCACTTATTCGCGGTGTATCACTTACTAGAGGCTCAATGCATTTCTATTTGGCATTAGTACCCCCAGAGATATACAACTGTTCACCATAGATAACTTGTCCTATTAGTACTGGCATCTATATTGCCATACATTCGTAAAGATTTCATTTTGAGTGTTATACCCCTATCATAGGATGGCGCTCGCCGAGGATGAATAATAGTCTTTTACATTGAATAAGGAGCTATTTTTCATAGATTATATTATTTTTATTTCTCTTAAACTGCATAAGCTCGTAGGTTTTGCTTTGCTGATTTATCCACCCAAAACGCCAGTAGGTTCCTTAGTTCCAAAAGTCATGCCATATTCATGGCCCCTCAACATATGTACTCATGCATGCATGCATTCACATCGGTATATTCAGAGCAAACAAAAGAAGGAGAAGAGTTGCGCAACAACATTAAAAAAGGTTACAGAGGACGACCCAAAACACAAAAACGTTGTATCAATGCGTAAGCGACGGCCGTAGCTGGTTCATCAGACATGATACCATTTACTCGCGGATCTCGGTGGCGGGCTCGCTGTGCTCAGCCCGACCCTCCTGCTTGGGGGAAGCGGGGGGTCCGTGGAGGTCGCGAACGATGCCCTCCGGGGGCGTCCAGCTGGCACTCTTCCAGGGCTTGACGTGGAGAACATACATGGTGTCGACTTCCTCAAGGGTACGACCCTGGGTCTCGTTGACGAAGAAGAAGACGACAAGTACAGCGGCGAAGCAGCAGCCTGCGAAGACGTAACCGTAGGCGAAGTCGATGGCGCTGGAGATGAAGGGAGTGAAGAAAGAGATCAAAAAGTTCCAGGTCCAGTTGGCGGCAGTGGCAAGACCAATGCAGACAGCACGGTAGCGGGCAGGGTACATCTCACCACAGATAGCCCACACAATAGGACCCCAGGTGGTGGCAAAGCCGACGATGAAGAAGCAAGTGAACACAATCATAGCGGTACCAGCCTGAGGGGTGTTGGGAGGGTTCTCCAAGTCCAAGGCGAAGTGACCGATGGAGGCCCAGATCATGAAGCAGATGAACATCCAGGAGGCACCGACCATCAGACTGTTACGACGACCGAAGTGCTCAACAACATAGAGACCAGGAAGGGTCATGCCGAAGTTAACGGCACCCAGAATGATCTGGGTGACGTAGCTGTTGTTCAGACCGGTAGAAGTGAAGATGGTGTTACCGTAGTAGAAGAGGAAGTTGGCTCCAGTGAGCTGCTGCAGTGACTGCAATGCAATTCCCAGCATGACACGGTAGAACATACGGGGACCGGTGAAGACTTCGAAAATGCCAGCCTGTCCGGCAGCCTTCTCCTCCTCGAGCTTGTCCTTCATGTCCTTCATTTCCTGGGCGATGCACCGGTGGTTGGCGCTGACACCGTAAAGCTTGCACATAACCTCACGGGCTTCTTCGACACGACCGTTACGGTAGGCATAACGAGGAGACTCGGGAAGGAACAAAGTACCAACACCGAGGATCAAGGGCCAGGCGAAGCCGATGCCCATGGTGATACGCCAGGAAGCAGTACCGTTGATGGATTCGGTACCAAAGTTGACAAGATAAGAGATGAAGATACCGAAGGCAACAAACAGCTGGAAGGCGCTGACCATGGCACCACGGACCTGACGAGGAGCAGACTCACTCTGGTACATAGGGACGATGCTGGACAGAGCGCCGACACCCAGACCGGCCACCCAACGACCCATAGCAACTTGGACCCAGTTGTCGTCGGTAGCGATCTGGATGATGATACCAACCATGTGAATCACCGACCAGAAGGAGATAGAGTACTTGCGACCAATGCGATCGGCGATAGGGGCAGCGACGAGGGCGCCAATCATAGTACCAATGGACAACTGTAGCCACGTTAGTTTGATCCTCATTCGCATAGTCAAGTGTCGAATCTATGGACTTACCAAACCGACAATCAAACCATTACGCACATTGCTGAAAGCGTATGTTCCATCAGCATGTTGTTCCGCAAAGCGCATCTTGAAATCATTCATAGTCGTAAAGCCAGCAATTTGACCTGAGGTGAAAGTCAGCAAGAAGCATGGTAGATTCTCCACGAGGAAGTTGACATACCGGTCGAGTAACCGAAAATAAAGCCACCCATCGAGACACACAAAC